TCCGAAAATTAGGGGTACCTTATCTTGGGTTTAGGGTTTAGGGTTTGGGAGTTTCCGAAAAGTAGGGGTGCCCTATCTTGGGTCCTTTATAATAAGGATCCTACTATTTAGGGTGCTATATTAGGGTCCCCTGTTTTCGGAAATCCCCACTACACTCTACTCTAGTACTTACTACTATACCATGCCAGGTTGTGTTATATGAACTTCTCTTGTAGTTTAGTAGACTAGACTGGGTCGGAGACTCTTTTGGTTTTTGTTGTTTGGCAGCATTTGACTCCGGGGGCTTTCGGCCGCAAGGGGTTGGCCATAGATGTGAGAGCTGCATGTCGTTATCGCTGGTAGTGCTCTCTCCATTGAGGTGTGCATGATTATGTTTAGGTTTGTGGTCACTTCGGCGATCGACACGTGTACCTGGAAAGTTACATCGTCAAATGCGGGTCCTTATAATAAGGAGCCTACTATTTAGGGTACTATATTGGGGTCCCCTGTTTTCGGAAACCCCCAAATTGCGGGAGGAGCTGCGAACGGCTGCTGAAGAGCGTGACATGGAAGCCTTGCAGAGGTACCTGCATCAGCGGTTTAGGGTTTAGGGTTTAGGGGTTTAGGGTTTAGGGGTTTAGGGTTTAGGGCGCTTTCCAGAGAACTGCAAGGGTCCTGGTGCATACCATGCTCATAAAAGGGCCCGCAATGCATATGCAACCTAAGCTCAGGCTTGTAGGCCTGAAAATCTGAGTTGTGAACAGCCCTTCTTTGTTGGACCTGGGGGTATGTCTTCATGCCAAGCGCAGCATTTCTGCAGAGGCTCATGTAGGGCAATGTAGGGTGGGAGTCTACTTTCCCATTCTCACGGCAGCGTGGTCTACCTCCAGGCCCTCTTCAGATTGACCCAGTCCTTCTAAGGCGAAGCCTGAAGTTTGAAACCGGAAGCTCAGTGGAAGCCACGAGACACCAAACCCGATGGCCAATGACAAGGTTCACAAGCCCACGCAACACATGTCACATGGTCTCAGCCTCCTGAACCTTTCACCCTTTCACTATTGACTAGCACCTGCACCCTAAGCCTAAGCCCTTATGGAGGCTTTCCTGGCAAATGCTGTAGTTGCTGGGTTGGCCATCTCGGATAGCTAGATCTGCATGGCGCTTGGGATTTGGAGCGGTGGCTTAGATACCTTGGAAGGAAAGGTCAAGTCAGTACAGGAGCGCTTCGAATCGGACGAGCCCTGGGTTGCGCAACTAGTCGCGGTCCATCATGATTGCGGGGAAATTGATGTGGATGACTTCGTGTCCCAACTGACCTTGCTCAGCTCACCGCAGACACGTCGCTTGCAGCGCTGCGCTACCCCTGACTGCCCATACAGGGTCCATGAGGAAGCCAGCTTCGGCGGCTACTGCTGCAAGCAGTGTCACTTTGTACATGTTCGAGGGCCAGGCAAGTGCAAAGGTCCACAGCACGGAGGCCGTTGCGCGCAGCAGCAAGGTTCCCACCTGTCCTTGCAGGCTTTGGCCAAGCCACCCCTCAAGCCACAGGCAGGTGTCGGATGTGTCGTCGCCGGCTTCTCCAGCCTTCAGCGAGTGGAGCGGATGGCCAAGCCGGCGGCTCTTTCCATGGCCGAGCCGATGCCACGGGCAGCAAGGCTTCCCAAAGCCCAGACCTCGGACGCCGACGTTTGGAGCAGAGCGGCTGCAAGCCGTGCCCTTGGCTCTCCGCAAGAAGGAGCCGGATCTGCTCCCGGAGGCATCGGGATCCTGGGGGGGGGCCGGTTGAGAGAGGAGCTCAAGTCGCCACCCAAAGACATGGCTTCACTGTTTGGGGGTGTTAAGTGTAAGGGTTCAGGGCGAAGGCTCAAACTCCAGATTCATGAGGTTGCTCACAACCACTCCCACGAAGTAAACCAGCACAGGCAGCAAAGAGGAGCTAGTAGGCCATTTGTATCTGCCTGCTTCCAGGGCCGGACGGGTGAATAATTGCATGTCCGGCACTGCCTGTGCTGATGCGAAGTTTCGAAAACCCAGGAAGAAAAGAAAGTAGATTACAACCCCTCGGAAGAAGAAGAACCGATGCCGTGAACGATGTCCCCCCCAGACGTTCCCAGTCCGATGTCAGGGTTCACGCATTCGGGTTTAGTGTTTAGCGGCTGGAACCCAAGGGCCGAAAGAGCGAAAAGAGGAGGCGGAGAAGCCATGCAAGGGAAGAGAAGAGGTCCCTGAGAAGGGAGGGCAGACATGAAAGTCATTAGAATTAAAGAAGCCAGGAAGTGTAGTAGTAGGTAAAAGCGCATAGAGGAGAAAGCTGCGACACGGAGAAAAGCTTTAGAAGTAAAGGCAACCTCACGCTAGGGACCCTGCAGGCGCCAAACACACATACAGATTGGCAGTGCCAATTACCGCAATGTTTTGGAAGCAACTAGCTTGCCGTCGCACTCGAAATCTTCCGTGGTCTGTGACATACGCACCCCGCACGTTCACCATTACCATGCGTTATCATGTCCCTGGAAGGACTGGGATGTTTTTTGGGGTGGCTCCAAAACAGCACGCACAACGTTGCCTCAGGGTATGAGGTTTTCCCAATATCCGTCGGGAGGTCACGTTACCGTGGTTTGGCGAGGCACCCTGTTGGCTGCGGGTCCCCACCCAAGGTTCCTTAGCCTTGGAGGCTAAATCGAATTTTTGCGAAGGTTCACAGCCGTCACTTCATCAGCAGCTGGAGCAGCATGTCTTCTGGACACCTTCTGGGTGGCTCGTTCTCCAAATCAGTCTCTGCTTTCGGGTAATGGAGTCGTGAGAGCTGGACCTCCGTATGCTCAGACCCTGAGGCGATTGCACAAGTCCTCATGCAAAAAAGGGTTTCCGTTGATGACGGCCCTTATGACACAGAGCGATGCCTGCTTTTGGGGATCCAACGAGGGCCGAACCTCTTATGACCTAATGGAACCCGGAAGCTGAACCGCAGGTTAGCTGAAACCCCTAAACCTTAAACCCCAAACCCTAAACCCTAAACCCTCCGTTAAATCCTAAATAAGTCCTACATGAACCCAAACCCTAAATAAACCCTGAACCCTAAAGCCCCAAACCCTAAACCCCCTACGTAAGCCTAGGTTGCTCCTGGTCGTGCACTGCAACGAGGAGCCCTTCAAGTCCTCCTTCGCTTGCGCCAGGTCATGTTCAGGGAGTAGGGTTTAGGGTGTGGGGATGAGGCTTTTAGGGTTTAAGTTCAGGGGTTAGGGACTGGGGGTTCAGGGTTTAGGGCTAAGGGTTTGGGGTTGGGGACTGGGATGGCTTGGGGTTTAGGGATAAGGGTTTGGGGATGCTTAGGGTTTGCGCCAGGCAGTGGTCAAAGGCCTTCCAGCAAACCGTCGCCCACGAAGCTGGGTTCATGTTGAGCAGAACAGGATCGAGAAATGCACAATTAGATAGAATTAAAACAAAAGCAAACACATGAAGTGCTATTATATATCTATAACAAACATGCATGCATGTGTGAAGAAACAAGAACTTGCATGTACATTTACTCATAGATGTAGATAGGCAGATTCACCGCTAGGTATCTAGAGAGATCAATAGGTGGGTAGATGGATAGATGTATGTATGTATGTATGTATGTATGTATGTATGTAAGTCATGTATGTAATGCATGTAAGTTACATAATATATGTAACGTATGTAATGTATGTAATGAATATATGTATGCATGCATGCATGCATGCATGCATGCATGCATGCATGCATGCATGCATGCATGCATGTATCTGTCTGTGCATATGTCTGCATCTCTGTATGTTTTTGTTCGCATATGAACAAACACGTAGAATTTCTAGATAAACACAGTCAGCAGCCGAATGCCCGAATGTCTCAAGAGAGACAAGCATACAGAGGTAAAGCAGTAAAGGCAGAAATTAGTAGCAATTTGTGTATCTCTTCCATATGGATGGATTCCTTCCCATGGTCGCAAGTGCCTTCAAAAGAGCTCAGGAAGATGATGTGGACTACAGTGGCTTGCGGGACGCCATACAAGCCGCCTGCAGCTACACCTCCTCGTGGCCTGGAGTCTTCCTCCACCAGGTGGGAGATGACTGTTAAGGGCTTGGTTTAGGGTTTAGGGTTTAGGGTTTAACCAGGGAGATGACTCCCTGGTTCTTAGTAGGGAATGGGGGAATGGATCCCTATGATAGTCCCTTAAGGTCCCCTCTGGTAGTCCCAATAACCCATTCCCCCATTCCCTACTAAAAACCAGGCAGATGACTGTTAAGGGCTTGGTTTAGGGGGAAAGGTTTCAGGCTTCGGGAGTCGCAGCAGGCCCGTTGCAAAAGGGCTATAGAGTACAGACTTATCGGGTTAGAGGGTTTAGGGTTTCAGCTCGAGGGAAGGGCTTTGTTTTGGGCAGGGGGGTCTTGGGAGCCAGAAGCATTGAGAACCCTGTGCCTACCTCTCCGACCCTCTGAGGGGCTTTGGGTTTAGGGTTTAGGTCTTTTGGGACTTTTTCCTTGGAACGGTTAGTGTTTGCCAGGTCTCCGTTGACTGCGACGGCAAGAAGCTCACAGCCCTCGGCGTGGGTCGGACGGTGGAGCATCGGATACGGGGCAGGATGTTGAATTGTGCTACCGTAGTAAGGAAGCCCTATTATTAGCTATAATAGTTATAGGTTCCTATTATGGTAACTCAAGTTAAGCTCGTGAACAAAAGCCCAGGATAAGGGCGGCCCTGGTGGCTCTGAGCGCCTCAGCCTGCGTGAACGGCCAGGAGAGGGCATTCTCCGGCTAGCTAGAAGGTTATAGAAGGGTGTGACAGGGATTCAGGAGATTTTTTGGGGCTTTGTTTTTTTGGGGCACAGGGTTTGGGGGTTTTAAAGATGGGTCTAGGGTTTACGTGTTTTGGGGTTTCGGATGTAAGGGGTCCGAGGTTCTTGAAGTGTGAGGTGTCCCTTCTTCAGGAGCATCGTATCGTTTTTGGTGGATTGTCCAGCGACATCCTGCTGTTTTCAGGCAACTTGTTGTGATATGGATCGTGCTATGTACGGTTTATATTGGGATGCCCCCATTTGCAGGAGACCCAAGATGCTTCATTGCAGCAGATTGCGATGGTGGCACGACGGAAGAAGGGAGAGAGGTGGACAATTCCATAAACGAGGATTCCTGTTTTAAAGTTCTGTTTTTTAAGGATTCTTTGTGAAGGTCTGCAGATTGGGATTCCTGTTCTAGGTCCCGATGATAGCCCCCCTCCAGGTGCCTCGCCGGGCAGCCGACAGGCAAGCGCAAGCGAGAGGACATGGCGGATGTGGTGGAAAATCTGAAGGGTCTCTTCGCACATTACCGCAGTGAGCAGCTGTCGACGCTGAGAGATTTGATAAATTCTGTCGAAAGGCCGGCCAAGCAGCAGGCAGCCGGCCTTCCTAAGGATGCCGTGCAGGAAGAAGAGTTCGAGGAGGTGGAGATTTCTGAAGAGGACGAGCGTCGGTGTGCAGAGAAGATAGAATGCCTCAAGGCCGAGAGGGCTCGCCAGATGGCCAGCCAGTCACGCAGGAATAAAGCTCAAAAGAGCCCTGGCTCGGAGAGAGAAGCCGTGCCAGCACCGGGAGACGCGGGAGAAGATGTCAGGGGCTGCTACCTGGCACCAACGCCGAAGCAGAGGTCCCGCCCACGGCCAAGTTCCGCCCCACAGATTTCTGCAGCCACCACGCCCCCAGAAGCGCCGGCGAAGTCGCTCCCGAAGCCGAAGCCGAAGCCGAAGCCAATGCCGTGCAAAGTGAAGAAGCTGTCTCAGCCACTCGTTCCCAAAGAGCCGCCCTATCCTCCACCGGCCCACTTGCGAGCCGGCATGAAGGTCTTTACATCGCCTTTCTCTCCTGACACGCGGATCACCGCTGAGCCGCAGTTTGAGAAGCTCGCCGAGATGAAGGAGTCAGTTCAGGGACTGGCAGCGGGACCATCGATTCGGGAGGTTGCCGTCGATGAGCTGAACTTTACGCAGAGCTCTTGCGGAGAGCGGTTTTCGGACGGAAGGACCTTCTTCGAGCTGCTGGAGGGCCTTTGGACGCAACGCATCCACCTCTCCGCCGACTTCCTGGTCTTGGACTGCGTGGAGACCTCTGCAGGCATCTCCAGCTTTAACAATCGGAGGCTCTTCGTGCTCAAAATGTTTCAAAAGCTGAAGGCCGAGGAGGTGAAGGTCTGGTGCACGATCCGACGCCTCGATCCAAACCTGGAGTCCGTCGTGGAAATGGCCTTCGACCGCGGCTCGCACGGCTCAAAAAAGCAGCTGACAGAGCAGCTGAACCTGGTGAAGAACATTCTTCGCCACCGGGACGACATTTTCTCGAAGAACATCAGAGTCCGCTACAAGAGCTGACCACTGAAGCGTGTGTGCCACCTTGCATAGTTGTTGGCCGCGGATCATTAAAACATTTTGTCGGCGTTACGGGAAGGTGCTACTGTAAACCTTGGACGATGGCCCCCTTATGGTCCTCCAAAAAGCTTAAGCTGTTGCAACGACGTGAGCAGATCACTATGTTGTGGTTGTGGTTCTTCTTGTTGTTCTTGTTGCTGCTGCTGCTACTGCTTGCTGCTCCTCTTATTATTATCATTATTACTACTACGACGGCGACGACTACTA